TGGATAAATGAGACAATTTTTGAACAATAGGTAAGTTTATCTGTATGTCTATTATTAAAATATATAAATATCTGGCATAGTGGAGCTGACATTTTACAAGGTGCCTACATTTATCTATTATCACAATGACTCCTCATGGCTGAGTATCAAGGTCAGTTTTATCATATTACATTTTCAAATGAGCAAAGAGTGATTCTAAGTTCAAATTATTTCTTCAAAGTCAAGACACTGAGTAGTCTGGGTCTTTTGATTCCAGACCCATTGCTTTTCCCATTCCCCTTTTTGTTTTATAATAAAAGAGAACCAAGAAAAAATTTGATCAACTGACAGAAAATTCTTTAAACTCTCAACTTTTTGATTGCTATGCTCATAAACATTCTCAAAAGTCTTCGTCATGCCTCTTAATTATTTAAATTCAGACAAGTCTGTTTCATTACATCATAGCTTTTAAAATGTTTTCTGGAGTTTAATGAAGTGTCAGTGGTACAAGTAAACACGTGAAACTAAGATATGTGTTGCTCACTGTGATCGGCACTATCATAACTAAATAGTTAGGAGTTGTTACAAATTTGATGTGCGCCATAAAAAATGCTTTTATTTGTTGAACAATTAAAGATAGCTTTGCTCTATGAAGTGCAGGAATTTCACAATTAAAATCACAAAGGCACTGCTTGCATCTTAAAGTGATCTCCTATCATGTAATTTTGAAAATTAAATCTCATTTATAATCTCTTAAATAGGCCTACATGCAATATAATCGGATAGTATAAAAGGTTCAAGGAATTCAGAATTTAGGTAAATTAAACTTGAGAAACAAACATTCTGCCTTATAAGAATATTAAAATTATTAAATTAATTTTGCTTACACCAACACCCAGAGGATTACTTTTATTATGGACTAAAAAAAAAAAAAAGCAATTCAGACTTGTTCTATCACTTATTGAGCACTTTTCTTCATGCTCTCTAAAGTTCACTGCTATGAGAGATGACCCTGAAAACAGATAAGTTAAAATGATTTCCCAAATGTCAAAAGCCAGTGATGCAGCAGGACCAGTTCCAGAACCTTCAGATTGTGGATCTTGTTCCTATGTGCACTACTCCCACACAAGGAAACAGACAAAAGCAAATTACACTGTTCAGCTTGGTTACTACCCTCAATCTAGAGTTCATTTCTCAGTCTCATTAACAACTGGCTCTATTTTGGAAAGAAGGCCATTTTATTTGCAAAATTATATAAAGTTCGACTTTCTTCTTGTACTAAAAGAGGTTCTTGTGTTCCGTTAATTGCTTCTCTAGAAAGATTTTACCTCTGGGAGACCATAAGCCCCCCTGAGTCAATGAAGAAACTCATCTGACACTGGGGACACACCAACTTCTCTTCTTGCTCTGTGGGCTCAGAGTTAGCATGAGAAACCAACGTAAGAAAATGGTTTATTTAATTCCTTGGAGATGTTCATTGACATAAAAGAAATTTATTTACATAGCCTATCTTCTAAGTGCAAATAAATATTCAGTTGATTCAATAGAAAGTTTTGACAAAGACACAGGCATCAAAGAATTAGAGCAGGATAGACATAAAAAGGATATAAAAAAGGATATTAAAGGCTGTGAGTGGGTAACAGCTTGGACAGAGGATGAGTCTGGGGAAATATTTCCTATACACCTGAAACTCGTAGACTCACACACCTGTGCTCTAGTTTTAGAAGGTACATTTCTTTAGTAAACAATGATTTATCAGCACTTCCCCAGAAAGAATAACTGTAAGCTGATGCCTGGTTTAACCACTTAAATTGTTTTTTGTGTGTGTATGTGTGTGAATTCACACAAAAACACACTTATTACATGAGTTTGGCATAAATAAGTGCTCTATGTGTGGTTGAACTAGACTGCAAGGACACGTGAACAGCACTATTCTCACCTTAGGTTTCAGTACAATGGTGCTTCTATTTCATACACGTGAACAACCACTTACAGATGTTTATTAGTCATGCCTGAACAATTTTTAAAAGAAGAAGAAAATGATTTTGAACACTGGGAATGTTTAAAATGTTTGGGAATTTGAATTTACAAATACTACAGCATCAAATCCACTGTTGTCCATCCAAGACTCAAGTTATCACTTGAGAATTATGACCATGGAGGCTATGACCAAGTTTTGAATACAAAGCAAAAATAATTGCAAAAGTTACAGAACTACAAATTCTCCCTCACACGGACAATCAAAATCAAACCTGACAATTAAATTACAACCTTGCTTCATTAGACATTAATCTTGCGGTGGAAATGAGTGGCTTTTAAAGGAGCCTTTCTGCCCCAATAAAAAAGCTCTCACTACAGTAGAACAATAAGGTTGCGTTGAAAGTTAGGAGTAGGAAGGACTATTAGGCCTCATTAGCTAATTATGGTATTGGCATCCACTTAAGTTACTCAGTTTTTCACTTGTGTCATTTTCTCCTATTCAACTGCTGCGGTTCAAAACGTTTTGACTACTTAAAAGGGAATACATCATCGTTGCCTTTCCCCGGTCTAACTGCACACCACTTTCCAAAGCAATAGCTTCAATCATGCTTCATAAAATCCCCTGCAAGTATATTGTTGGAAACATAAATCAGCAAGCTGGGGTTTTAGTATTTCTAAGGCAAGCCCAGGGATCACTGCCTGGTGGCTTTTCCGTGGCCCTGTTTACAAAAGAATAAACAAAATTATGAGTTACACTAGATCCATTTTTTAAAAACAGCTCCCAGTGGCATGTCTGATACTTGCTCTTGCATCCTTAATTAGAGAACAAAACACTAGCACAGAGGAATTAGTCTCCAAGATGAGGATTTCTATTTCCAAGCATCTCTGATTTCATTAAGACACATGGCACAGAAGCACTACATGTTTGTCCTCACAAAAGCCAGGTTCCTCTGATATGCGTCTATGGTTCTGTAAGTCTTATGCATTTTGAAACTGTACCAGATAGAGATCTTCCTTACAATGATGCTCTCCTTCTACCCTGTTTCATTACAGTGAATATGGGCTCCCCCACAGGCATGCTTCCGTTTCAGAGCCCTTCTTTATAACCACCTTGCATTCTGATTATAAATTAGCAGAATCACAATTTCAAATTTAGGTTCCAGGTATAGACAAAATTACATATGTCTGTGTATAGTGTTTAAATCTAGATATTAAACGTTCCTAGATTCCCTTGTATCCCCAAATTCCAGCACAGTTAGTGATTGAAATGAAAAATGTACAGACTCCACAACTGAGACATTTTTCTTCTCCAAACCACTCATAATGTAATCATAAGTCTGCATAAACTTGCTTCCTATTAAGCCCTACATTTTCCCATACTATCTATATTTATTTAATTGCAATTCTATTTTAACTGCAATTTTTAAGTTCTGTTTCTTAGTATTCAGAAATACCAGTCTATATTATAAATGAACAGTCAAACAAAATCAGCTGCTCTCCAAAAAATTAAAGCAGCATTATCTGCAGTGGATAAGTGTATGTTGATCTTTGCTATAAGAGTGGTGGAATTAACAGATTGAGCTAATGCTGGTTTCAGATGAACATATCTGCAGTTTTTCTAAGACTGAAATATTACATACTCCATGTTATGGGGAAATGAGCAGTATCTTACTAAGACACTTCACAAACTATAAAAATATCCATCATTTGCATTCTTATTTCTAAACATAAAATGTGCATCCAATTGTGTTTCATCAGCCACCAACACTAAAGCTTTGGGGAGGAGAAGGGCAGAGAAAGGAAGGTTTTCACATCCAAAATGTCAAGCCCTGCTGAAGAATGATAGAAGGACTCTATGTGCAAGAGCAGAAGCAACCATTTCAGGACATAAAATGGAGTTCTACCACCCCCTGCTGGACCAAATGAGCAACACAGAAGAGCCTTAAAATGCTTAGAATTGAACATAGTGAAGATAATTTTAAGTTATCTCACAATTCATTATTTTATTAAAAAAGAATTTCATGCTACACTAATAATGTAATATTATCTTCTATTATTACCCATTAAAAAATTAGTGTTATATATATATTTTTTTTCCTGTAAAGACTTCAACCAATACATGTTTTACCATTTTGTTTCCCCAATTAAATGTCCAAACTTGTCTGGACAGTTGAAAATGTTTCCATTTATTGTAAATATATTTTATGTGAATGCTCACTATCAAAATAAGTAAGATAAATTTATATTTATTTTTATACAGATTAACAGAGGTAGCTTCCACAATTTCTCCCTTAGGTTATTCTACTAGGCTATTTTTTTTTTTTCTTTTCTTTCTTTCCCCAAGATATAAAAGCTCCCACCAGTTCTCCACAACCTCCCAAATCCCTTACAGGTGTAATTACAATCTGATGTTATAAAATTCTTCAATTTTGCTGTATTAACAAGGGGGAGGGGAGGGGGTCAAAATGAATGACTGCAACACATCCCTAGTTTTATCCATTTGCTTTCTTACACACAACATCTATGGCCCCTCTCTTAGTTTCCTACATAAATAAGCCATCATCATTCACTTCATAGCCAGGAACTGGTCTTGGGAAAAGAGTCTCTGATTCCTTGCATACAACAGATATTTTACAAATTAGTTTAATGCTGATAGTTTTTGCTGGTTCTGTAAAATATCATTGTACCCTTTCCTTTCGCAACCTCAGATATTTAACTATGAATACACATCGACATACTCATCCAGTTTTTGAAAATGAAAATCAGAAAGCTAAAAATCCCAGAAAAAAGACGCAGTTTGCCTCGGTTTCCTGCTCATGCCCATCTCCAATTCTGTATTTTCTCTTCTCTTATTTAAGGGTCTCAACAAAATAGACACAATTTTAGGGGCAGCTAAAAGAAGGAGCTAAAATAATAATAACAACAACAATAACTGTAACTTTACTTCTTTCATTTAATTCTTCCTGTGCCTCCCTCTTTGCCTCTCTTGGTTGGGTGGAAGGGGGAGGGAAAGTAAATGCAATAAAGCACCACACTCCTACCTTGCCCGCTACTGACAAGCAACCCGAGCAGGTAGAAGGAGAGGAGGAGGCTCATGTTCAGGACGTGACACTGGTGGACAGTTCCAAAGTTATTAAGTCCAGCCCTGGAGAGAGAACCTTCCGCTGCCACGGCCACCTCTGCTAGACCGCCGCTGCTCCCGGGGTGCCCCAGCCGCCCGCAGCCCGCGCGCTCCTCCTCGCAAAGTGACTGCAAGCTCCGCTCCTTGACGCACTATATCCAGGCAGCAGCGGCGGCAGCGGCAGCAGCAGCAGCGGCCGCCGCGGCGGCAGCAGAGCCGGGCGGGAGGGAGGCGGGGGCGGAGACGCGAGCGAGGAGGCGCGGCCGAGGCGTATCCCTCCGCGCGGCTCGGCGGACGCTGCACTCTGAGGCGCGCAGCCCCGGGATTCGTCCGCAGTCGAGCTCAAAGCTGCTGGTTCGCTCCCCCGTGTCTCCAAATAGATGAGCTGCTGCGATGGGCTAGCAAGAGTATAACCGGCGAGTGATGACCCCACACTCAACCTGACAGTCACCCTCACGCGGGGACACGCCCCTGGGCCAAGAAAGGAGGTGACAAACAGCCTCCAAGCTCCCTCTCCCCGCTGGCCCCTCGGGGGAAGCCGAGCCGATACCGCTGCTGATGCTGCAGACGGCCTCCCGGTCCGGTGCCTCAGTCGCACCCGGGCTCAGCGGCCCCGGGAGACCGCGGGGCAGGCGATAAATTCCTTGGTCTCATTTCTCCTCAAGCTTGTGCGGAGAGTCGGGAGGGAGTTCTCCGTCTCTCCCAGATCGTTCCTCTCTCTCAGACCTGGAGCAGAGTGGCACCTTCCCGCGACTGTCCCCTTCCCGTGCTCTCCACTCCGCCACCGCAGGGGGAAAGCAATTGTCCTCTAGTATCTACAGGGCCGGTCTCCTCTGGCGCTAGAGGACAGGCGGAAAGATGTGCAGTGTTTCTTTACATGTTGCTGCTAAGAACAGGTATCTTAAGGGACATCGAGGCGGGGTGAGTTGTGGGAGGGGCTGCGTTCAACAGGCCTGTGAGTCTTAGCTGCGCCCTTAGATAAGTCTACAGTCTCTCATCGCCACACAGTTGGCTCTGCCTAAGGTCCCTAAAGCACAGCATTGACCAGGTTCCCGCAGGAACGCGACGACTGACGTCCTGTAAATGTAAAATGATGAATTGTGCGGAGATCCTACCCCAGGCCAGTCACCCGTACCCCCTCCCACTCACCCGTACACGGCGTGCATGTGTAAGTGTAAATTGAAGTGATGGAAAGGTGGCAAGCACCCAGAACTAACTCTCCTCACCTAAGGTTGAGGCATATCATTATTTCTCCTGGAGGGGTAGGAAAAGATTTGTCACTTTAATGTCAAACCTGTGGAACACGCCAGGTAAGAGGCACAATCACTGGATGTAGGGCCCTTGTCTCCCTGCCCCTGGGTTAGGGTGACCAGTTGGAACTGACAACAGGTCCTTTAGTCTGCACTTTTTTTCTGGCTTCTTAGAGTATAATTAATTCCCTCACCAGAGTCTCAGGGACCACTCAGGTTCTCTCGTTGTCAGTGATGACATAAAAATCGGATGGGATAGAAATATGGAAGGGCTCAGAAATCGAGTGCCCCCCATCTCCCCCCGCCCCATGCAATGACCAGATGGATGTGTCATTGACTTCAGGGAGGCCAAGGGAAGGGCTAAGCAATAAACACAAGTGAGCATGGATAGGGCAGATATTGGTGATGATTTGTTCTCTCCATGCAGAAGGGTTTATACAGAAGATTCATTTTCTTTGTACCCTAGGATGGGGTTATGCAGAAGAGACAAGGGGAAAAGGAAGTTCTCAATGTACACTGTGGCCTTCTAACCAGAAGCACTCTCTGCACCTACAGCTTGAGAACCTCTCCTTCCCTCTTGATATTATGCCAGGCAATATATTTAGGAAGTTCTTTTGCCAAGAGAGCCTCTGTGCAACCTTCACTGGTTCTGGATCACACCAACTGTACTTAAGTTCATGGCCTTTTTGCAGTAAAAGATGAAAACATTGGGTGTTTTAAGTGTGAAAAACAAAACACTCGTTTTTACCATTTCTTGATTTCTCTAGGAGATCATGAGAAAACCACACACATAAAATTACAGAAGACAGCTGAAAGAGTACTACCAGTTCCAAATAACCTCTTCACCAGAAAGCTTGCGATTTTTCACACCAACACAGGGAGTGACTGAATGGTGGGTGTACACACATATGTGTGCGCACACACACACAAACACACACCAGGCAATCAGGGAAATACAGTTCTGAAAATTATATTCCTGTTATTAGAAGTAAAATTACTTTTATCTTCTGCCAAGAGCTGAACTATGCCAGAGGAGAATAAGGTTTAGACAATGAGTCATCTTACAGAGAGAGGATAGGAGGAGAGAAGGGATCAATGACCTTTTTCAGATGTTAGTGAAATTTCTGGTTAGATACTTATATCATAAGACGGTGAAAAATCCCAAAGTCCTTTGTGAGTTTGTGTTTGTGTGTTTGTATCTGTGCATGTACATGTGGGGGAGGGGAGTGACAGAGAGAAAGGGAGAGAGAATATAGTATCCATGTGTATGGAAAAGGCAAATGAGCAGAATCTTATTACTCAGGAAGATACAAAGGTAACAGGATTTGATCCTGCCCTCAGTTGACTAACCTTCTTGTTGAGGAGATCAGACATCAACAAAAGATACAAAATTTGATCATAAGAATCAGGTTGTAAAATGTCGTAACTAAAGATGAACTGATACAGCCATAAAAGAAGGGAACACTTCTGAATGTGGAATGAGAAGAGACTCCAGGAATCCTTGAATGTAAGAGAGAAATTAGCCACATAGGTAAAATAGAGAGCAGTTTAAACAAAGCCAGCTTGCCAGGGGAACACATGGCATGTTCAAAACAGAGAGAAGTCTGACTTGAAAAAAATACAGAGTTTGAAACACAAATATGATTGAGTTGGAAAGAAGGTTTATCACCTTGTTATGCTAAGAAGCTTGATATTTGAAACCTCTGATCCCGACATGGGTAGTTAGAAAGTAGATGTACAGGGGTAGCTGTTTAGCCCAGTGGGAGAGCACTTGCCTAGCCCTAGCATGTGAAAGCTTTGGGTTTTATTCCCAGTGCCACAAATGATAGATAAAGAAGTGACTGTCTCCATCCCTACGGCTAAAGGCCAGATTGCAAATTGTAGGCCAAGATTATCAAACAAGCCTTTCATGACTTCTGTATCAATTAGCCTAAATTTATTTTGCTGAGTGGTCTCAAGAGCAGGATGTCACATACTCAAAAAAAAAAAAAAAAAAAAGACAAGAAAAGAAAAAAATCCACTGCTTTTTAGCCAAAGGTGGAAGTGCTTCTCCAGGGCTCACATCACAAGCACATCCATTTCCCATTGCAGTGACAAAGTGATTTGCCTTCATTTGCCTGGGTCAGTTTCTCTTCTTATATTACCTCTGCTCACTGGCCCTTTCCTTACTCCTGCAGCCTGCTTTCCACAACACAGACATTGAGTCCTACTATGACATGTACCAGGTCCATGAATATGACTAAGCCATGTACACTCTGTATGATATAAAAAAAAAAACATAAAAACCATCCTCCATCCTTTATGTGACTCATAAATTGCATTTAAGATAATTTACCAACTTCTTCATCTACCTGAGGAAATATTTTGGAGCTTTCGTCAGTGTTTTAGTTATTTCATTTATAAAAATAAAATCAAGTTAAACCAAACTCAGGAATCTATGAAAAGCTGAGTAGTAAGAAATACCAACAGGACTGGATGCATGGTTAAATGAAAGCAGATAAATTTGATTTAGAAGAATCAATAAAATGAACATGAAGGAGTAGTAGAGAGATAGAAAACGATAAGGTGCATTATATGTGGAAATTATCTTCTCAGAGAGATTCTGCCTCTTACATCTGCAATCTGTTCCCACAGAAAGCATGCAGGTATATAATCTGTTCCCACAGAAAGCATGCAGGTATATAATCTGCACATGGAGCCTAGACGTGAATGTTGTGCTGTGGGCAGCATTTAAATGTCATTTTTATTTCCCTATTCCAGTGTTATTTTTGTTTACTCTGCGTGTTGACAGAATTCATGTGCGTTAAGATCACACTATTAGGAAATAGGACATTCCATGTGTTCATTTATATTTTTAAAATGTCACAAACCATTATACCTATTCATTTACTTGTCTAGAAAATTGCCTGTTTTGGCTTTTTTTTTTTATTACCACAAAGGAAGAAAAATATCTACTGCGTATATAGACAGATAGCCGGAAACCTCTATAAATAGATGATCCTGTTACTGCCTTCCCTTCTCCATTAATGCCACTTTTTCTAATGACCATGTCTTTGAAAGTAATTTCTACTTTCTTGATATAACAACATGTTAGATGTTTTACCAAGCTACTTGTGAGTATCTGACAGTAGGTCCTTTAGTGGTAGAATTTAGGTTTTAGCACCTTCATTTTTAAATGCCTTACTTTCTTAACTGTTCTATTTGAAATTAAGAAATAAAAGAGGCAGATTTATGGTACTGAGGCACCCCAATTGTCCACTGATTCTTACTTTTTAATTTCTTTCAAGATACATGGGGTCATTTTCCTTCATGGCTACTTCATGCTCCCTCCGGGCAAATAACGGTTCACTTCGCTCTGAAATTATGCAATAACTGCCTATAATTTGCCACTTGCCAGAATAATATTTTCTTAACTCCAAGGGGATATTATATTTTTCTTCACCAAGACATTCCTGGCATATGTAATAATGGACAGAGCAGAAAATGTAACAAACCTGCAACACATTGACAAAACAGTGATTGACGTGATTTCAAGAATATATTAAGGACAAAGTAAGAAAGAAAAAAGGAATCAAGCAGTGGCTAGCAATGAACCTTTTTGATATGACAAGGATCATGATGTGAAATGCAGGTTACCCAAATATTGATCACAGCACTCAGAAATCACATTTTGTCCATGGGTAGTATTGACCAAGGCGATGTCTACACAAATCCTATCATGCAAAGGGAAGTTATTACATACTCGATAATAAATCCTTCATACTTGGCAACTGATCCCACAGAACTATAGGTTTGATAAGACACAGGATATTAATGTATTCTGGGCAGCAATAAAGTTAGTAATTAAATTTGAAAGTGTCTAATTGCACAGAACCATTTAGTTCTTCCCTTTGTGGAAGTATGTTTCTGTTAATTTT